GAGCGATCGAGCAAGTGTTCAGCTACACTGAGTGCCCTGAAAGCTTCGGCAAACATGATATTGACCGAAGCCCCTGTGTCTACGAGGATTCGTCGAACATCAAAGTTGGCTATGTGAGCCTCCACGATCAATGGGTCGTTATGAGGGTAGATGATGCCTCTTTCTTCCTCAGGTAGAAACATATCGGATCCCAGTTAGGCTTTTGATACTTCCCTCCCCTGATGTCTTCCACGTGAAACACTTGGTGACCAGGCCTCAGAATTCGTTCACTGTTTTTCATGGCCCTATTGGAAGATTCAGATATGGGTGTGCCGCCGCTTATGGAATATATGACATTCACCTGGCGTTGGTTACGGTTATCCCTTTGAGGGTGAAGGAGGAATTGATCAATTTTTCTTTCTCGTGCCAAAGCTTCAATACGATCACGGAGGATGATACATTTCTCGCTATCATGGCCGTTATGCTCATGGTAGCAACAAAACATGCCCGCGTTATTCGGGGGACACCTGGGTGCCTCGGCTTTGGCTTTGGTATCAGGTGAGCTATGCTGGGGTAAATGGCCGCGCATGTGGCGTTCAAGGGCGTGTATGTCTCATACCTTGGGGTAGGGGGTATCTTGACGCGGGTTTGACCCACTGCATTGACTGCCTGGGGGCGAGCGTTATTGTGGCGATACCCTTGGTTATCGGGATAGTGTCCCTTACTCTTTTTACTGAAATGAGAGTGGTGAGGATGGAAATCCTTCCTCTTGCCTTGAAATTGATATGTCTGTTGATTCGGCGAAGCATTATGCAAGGCATGGGGAGGTGCCACTGCTGTTTGGAAAGTCGAGGTCTTCTCATTTAGGTGAGTCTGGCTTCCACCTCCCACTTGTTGATAAAGGATGGTTGTAGGGGGTTTCTCCTGATATGTCTTTGCCTCGGCGGAGGCATGGTTATAAGCCTACGCCATCACCTCAGAGTAAGTCTTCCAAGTATTGGCATTGATCATGTATTTAAAGAAACAATCACGTAGGCCTGCCATGAAGGCTTTGAGGGCAGTCTTGTCGTCTGCCTCGGCACACCGGGAGTATTCATTGCTGAAGCGGCCAGCATACATACGTAATGACTCGTCTGGCTTCTGGCAGATAGTGTACAGGTCATCTGCAGAGTGCAAGCGATCGGTTTGGAAAATGTGTTGGGAAACAAATAGTTTCCTCAATTCCTCAAATGAGTCTACCGTCTCAGGTGTAAGATGACAATACCAATTTAGAGCTCCACCAGAGAGGGTGGAGGGGAAGAGAAGACATCGCTCTTCGTCGGTGTGCATCCGGTATGCCATGGTGGACTCAAAAGAGGTTAAGGTGCTCAATCGGGTCCTCTTTTCCAGTATAAAGTTGCAAGCCAAGCTTTTGCTTGGTCTTTGCTTGAAGGGGGGTGTTGAGGATCCTCCTTGTAAGAGGGCCAGGCCTGGGTTGGTTCCAGTCAGGTATTTCAGCCTGACGTTCAGCCTTCAACTTGTTTACTTCCTCAAGAAGTTGTAGGACAAGGGGTCCTGAGCGGAGTTATGTGTCACTGGAGCTTTCTTTCGTAAATCTCCATCTCCTCTTGGAATTAGGAAGGTTTGATCAAGGGCATGTGATTTTTCCCTGGACTCGCTGTACTGGCTTCCAGGGTATGTCTGTCGGAACACCTCTGAGTCCCCTGTACCCTCATGTCTCTCTAGGACTTGTTGCCCCTTCCCCAAATTGGTGGCCGGCTTGGGCCGTGGCAGGGGACCGAGTCTCTCAGAAATCCTTGGGTCATTAATCTTTGAGCTTATATGGATGGAATTCTCTCGACGTTGCTTCAGGAAATCCCGACAATCGCGAAAAGACGGCTTTCGATCCTTCTGCCCCTTCAGCAAAAGAGGTGTCTCCCTCCACTTCTCATGGTTCGGGTCGAAGCAACTGGGTTAAGAGAAGCCTCATGTTGATTATCAAGTCGAGGGGTAATCTGTTCCCTATCAGGGATATCTATGTCGAATGCATGTGACCCTCCATGTTGGAGGGCACCCAGTTGATGGTTGACTTCCACGGGGGCAACAAGCTCGCGTGTCTGAGCTTGCCTAGCTTCGTGGAGTGTCTCGAAGAGCTTCTCATATTGCTCCTGGAGGACCTCATTCCTCATTGCTATCTTGTTGTTCTGAGCTTCCAACTCATCGACTTTAGCTTGAAGAAGAACTCGTTTTCCTTCCTTCTTTCGTTGTTTCGCACTATGTGCAAGGGGGGTGTCATTCTGTGTGCTGTGGCTTCCTTCGCTTCCCATGTTGAGAGGGGATGCCTGGTCAAAAGAAAGTGTACGAATGATAGAAACCAGCTTGACACAGCTGAAGAGAGTAGGAATAAGTGTCGTTTCCCACAGACGGCGCCAAATGTTGATGCACAAAATCAGCGAAGACTTTGGTACAACAGAAAGTGTCAGGTTTTGTGACCTTCGCTTGGTTGCTTCGGTCACTAGTGAGGATAAGTACGTAAATGAATAGAGACAGAGAAGCAAACACAGGATGTACGTGGTTCACCCAGATTGGCTACGTCCACGGAGTAGAGGAGTTCTTATTAGTAGTGAAGGGCTTACACAAGTACAAAGGATCAAGCTCTCAATTTAGTGAGTTCTTGTGAATGATTTAACACAAATGGCATTAGGCCATATTGTGGGGGAATGACCCCTATTTATAGAAAAACTTGTAGCTTTGTCACATTGACATGTGTCATGTTATGATTGGTTCTTGATGTCGACACGTGCTGCGCTCTGATTGGCTTCTAATCTTGACACGTGTCGAGTAGTGATTGGCCTCCTGGTCGGAGGGGAACTCTTCTGGGTCCTTGACAGTATAGCGTTGGCCGGTGCTCGGTAGTTTCGGGATTGGTCAAGTATGGTACAAACATCTTGTATTTGAATCACCCTTCCAATATCGCTTATATTAAAAGAATACAAAGACATGTAACTCAAGTAATAGCGATACACATCTCGTATTTTGATAAACTATGAAAGAAATACACTAAAATGTGCTTTATCGCATGTCTAATGTTCCTTGAGCCACGAGATTATGTATTTTGAATGAAGTTAAATATGAGCACAACAAAAAGTTTAAAAAAGGAAAACAAAGGTATTTTGATAAGGACATGTAACTTAAGTGGTCTCTCGTGAGTTATGTTTTGGTCTCAACGATTTCACAGTGGTCTCACGTGGTGTGAGAGCTATTCTAGTTACAACTTCATTGAAATTTCAAAAACCACACTAGATTTTGATTGCAGCGCCCAATATTGAAAAGATTATATAACTCAAGTGGTTAAGAGCATTTCACGTGAGCTCAAAGTCTTGTATTTGAATCACCCTCCTAGTATCGCTTATATTAAAAGAATACAAAGACATGTAACTCAAGCAATAGGGATACACATCTCGTATTTTAATAAACTATGAAAGAAATACACTAAAATATGCTTCATCGCATGTCTAATGTTCCTTGAATGACGAGAGTACGTATTTTGAATGAAGTTAAATACGAGCACGACAAAAAGTTTAAAAAAGGAAAACAAAGGTATTTTAAAATACCTCATATTTTCAATATTCAAATAATCTGTGAGATGCCAGAGAATCCCGAGAGTCTCCATAGCATTACCCAACTCCAAAACCCTATCTATCTTTAGTCTATCTGCCAGTTTCGATCCGAAGACCTATGGGATTCGAACAGCTCTCAAACCCAACAATGTACAAGGGAACCAGCGACAAAAATCTACAAAGAATTACACTAAACCGTAACAAAAATATTGGGCCTAAAGCCCATAACAGCACATTCATATAGAGGCGGCCCATAGAAGAAACAAGAAAGAAAGGGGGAGGGAGAGTGGTGAAATCCAAAATCTCAAATCTGCAAATTTACCGGAAAAAATTCTGAACTGCGAAGATTGGGGGAATGGCGCAGCAAGCAGTGCAGAAGAACACGATGTACGTCGGAGGACTGGCGGAGGAGGTGAACGAGTCGATACTCCACGCGGCGTTCATACCCTTTGGGGACATCAAGGACGTAAAGACGCCGCTGGATCAAGCCACCCAGAAGCACCGCTCTTTTGGGTTCGTCACGTTTTTGGAGAGGGAGGACGCCGCCGCTGCCATGGACAATATGGACGGCGCGGAGCTCTACGGCCGAGTCCTCACCGTCAATTACGCCCTACCTGAGAAAATCAAGGGCGGTGAACAGGGTTGGGCCGCCCAGCCCAGTAAGTCCTCTTCCCCTTTACTCCTTATCTCTTACATTGTTGGTACTTGTGTGCGGATTTGACTGTTCGCTTGATTTGTTTAGTTGGGTTTGCTTGATTAATTAATTATCTGGGTTGGCTGGGATGTTTTGATCTTTGGGTTTTGGTGTGTTTTGGGTTTAGGGTTTGTAATTGATTTTTTATTTTCTTTTGTTTTGTTATTACAGTTTGGGCAGATGCAGACACATGGTTTGAGAGACAGCAACAAGAAGAGGAAATGCAGCGCATTCAGGCGGAGAACAAGGCCGCCATGCAGGCTGCGGAAGAGTTGCACCGGAAAAAATTGACGCAAGAACGAGAAGGGGAAAAAGAAGAGGAGATCGAGATGAAGGATGACCCCATCGCGAGGGCTGAAGCAGAGGTTTTGAAACAGAATCACTAGTGTTGTACTGCTTCCAAGTGAAAATTATGTGAGGAGTATGCCGTTTTGTTCTATCAAATTTTTGTAAACTTGTCAAGCTCTCCTGTAAAACTTTGCTAAGCGAAACGAAACAGATACTCGATTCTTAATCGCGTATAGACAGGCATGCTTCGATGCAATAGTGGCTCATCTTCCTCTCGTTGAAAGTATGAAACTGAGCAGGATTAATGAATATCTATCAAGTTCGGATACTCGATTTCTGCATCTCTCGAGCTTACACTTGGTTGCTCAAGAGCGTTCTATTAGAGAAATGATTTCCGTACACCCCTTAACACTTCAATTAACTCAACGACCAAAGATTAATGTACTAGTAAACACGAAACTGATTACCATGCCAACATTAAGTTCAAAGAAAGACTTACCATAGATGAATTGAAAAGGTACGAACAACGCATAAACTACCACGAAACAAATTATCTACTGCAGGAGGATTTCAAAATTCATGTTCTGACGAGTAATGAAAACTACGCGATCACCTCTTGTTTCGAAGTATTGCACGTTAAGCACCAAGCTCCTCGTCAAACTATTCACCTTGATCAAACGGAAAGCGGGACTCGAGTCAGAAACTATGGCCTCTATTCGCGGAGGACGATGACTCCACAAACTTTACGCTTCTAATAGTCTTTGCAGAAGGTGCCATCGAACATAAAGAGGGATAAAAGTCAACAGTTGTGGCCTCTATTTGTCGAGAACGAGGGGTGTCGAACAATAAACAATTCTTGACACGAGGGAATGGAGGCAACAAGGTCCCGAAATTTTCTGGACGAACAAAAACCTCAGCAGATGCAGCATCACCAAAACACAATCTTACTTCTTTGGAGCAATCGAAATTTGCAAGAAAATCTCTCAGTCCAAGAAAGTTTGTGGATGGCGATTTTCGCAGCCATCAGCTCATGATCCCGATTTTCGCCATCTAGTTCCTCGTTAGTGGGTGTTTTTGTTTCCGTGCCGGCTACAGGCGGCGGCGCCATTTAACTTGCCGTGGTTGATGCTGCTGCTGCTTCTCCGGAGATGCTGAAATAAAAACTCCACTGAACCTGTAAAACTGGAGGAGTCGATCAATGCTTTTCGTATTGATAACAAGGAGTCCCTTTCCCAGAACAGATTTAGGGTTAAGGGTTTGATAAGGAGATTAAATTTTTAAATTTTGTTACGGGTAATTAGATTCCTAATGATGCATGCAAACGTTGAGTTCGAATCACAGCATAAGAGATTGCAATGATCTGAGAGAGCACGAAGCTAACAATTATATATAAGAGAAAGAGCCTTACTTGGTCTTAGGGCAGGGGTGGCGGCAGTTCCAATCGTCGGTTTCGTCGGATTTGGAACCTGACAAGCGGCAGCGAGGGGCGGGTGGCAGTGCCGACGATGTTAAGATTTGTTTAGGGTTATTTATTTATATTTCAATAAATAATGAGTTGTCCTATTCCATAGTAAGTCTGTTGAGGAAGTAGATTAGTAAGTACATCCACTTTCTTTAGGAGTACTCCAATAGTGGAGATGTGTTGTGAGTCATAGAAATTAGGGGCTTTAGTTTTGTCTTACCAATTTTGTATGTGATGGGTAGCATTTATAATCAAAGTTCAAGATTGCATCCAACTAAATCGAGATCCTCTCTGGATCTCTGTGTCTAGAGCTGAATAATCACAGACCATAACATCAGGTGATCCGGACCACTCACTTTTAATCTTGTCATCCTCATTAAGCCATCCCATTGGCCTACCTCACATAAACCAAAGTCCGAACCGGATATCTCCCTCCCTTCAACAGCCTGAATCACCTGATCTTTAGGCTCTATACACTAGTTCCTTCCAACTATCTTATAGCATTTTCTCTTATTACGCACCAACTCAATCTTAAAACATGCAAAAGCATTTTTCAATCAAAATGTGAGATTTTATTACAATACTTAACGCGTATTCATTACTATCACTATCTTAACAGTTTAAGATGGTAATTATATTTAACTTCTCCCAACTATACACATCCACCAGACCAGTTTTCTCTCCTCTCTCTAACCTTTCCTCCTTTATGCCTTCAAGAAAAAAGAGCCCCCCAGCTGCTCTCCTTGCTCCGGCTTGGGGTTGGTGGCAGCCTGGCTCCCCCCTCTTTCTAGCCTTTCTTTCCTCTTTCTCTTCCTTCTTCGCCCACTGCATCTTCCCTCTTCCCCTTCTTTCCTCCATCCTTCCCAAATTTTTTCTAGCTCTTCTTCCCTCTTTCCCATCCACATCCCCTCTCTGCATCTTCTTTTTTCCTTTACTTTCCTTCTTCCTTTCCCCCTCTTTCCTTCCTTCCACTCAAAAGTTTTTTATTTTCCCTTTTTATTTTTCTTTCTTTTGGTCTTTGTTTTGGCTTCCCTTGAGCTTCGTTCTATGAACTTTGTTTCAATTCCCATGAACTGGTCTCAATTCTGGACCTTCATGGCCCTCTCCTGCTCTGGTGTAACTTTTTGTCACGCGTCCTCAACCACCGGCCTCTGCTACTCAAGCCATGTGCTTTTTCTCAGGTGTTGGGTGGCTATCAAAGTGCTTTTAGCACTATCTGGTAGGATTATGGGAGTGCTTCTTGCGTTGGTGGCTTGCTAACCCCCATTTTCCAGTGATCCATTTGTTCAGTTGGTTCGTTCTCTTGGTGGTGGTGGCGACCCTGCAATGGAGGCGCATCTGGTAGCTGCTGGATCCGTTCCAGTCTTAGGGTTACTTTTGAGCCTATCTTCTGTATTTTCTTTTTTGTTGTTGGGCTTGTATTTAAGTAGTGGGTTGCCCTTTGGGCTCCCTTTTTCCTTGTACTTGCCTTTTTTTAATGAAAGTAAATTAGTTTGACAAAAATAAAAGATGGTAATTATATTTATACATGTAAATATTGGAGTCAATTCCAAAATGTGAACAGGGCTATCAGAATTTAAAGGACATTGAAAACATTTGCCTTGCTTGTTTAATTATTGTTTTTTTACTTTTTAGTCACTAATGTAATATTTTAAGGACATTGAGAACAATTTTGAATCATCTTAATCTTATCCAACTATAGTGAATGATTCCCACACGCTTCAATGTCACTATCTAGAAAAAGATTGGATATGCCAGGTAGTTTTCATGTTATTAATTAGGAGTAGTTGAGGGGTAGGTGAACAAGAGTGTGATATCAAAACTTTTTAGGCTTGTTTGGTAGACTGAATGAGATTGAGTTTTAGATAAGATTGGATCGAAAGGAACATGTAAATCAAGACTTTTAACTCATGTGTCAGGACTCAGGGCATGTTAGATAACACATTTTATTGTGGATTCATAATCCATCATATCTAGTACTGTCCATCTCACATTTTGACACAACAAATAACAAACTGGACTGAAATAGATTTTAATTTTAATTGATCACAACTTATCCCAACAAACTCACCAAACACGCCCTTAGACTCCAAGGATTAAGATTGAGCGTTGATGAACGAGAATGTATTTAAACTAGCTTGGTCTTTGATTGTATGAAATTGTTATTTGTACTTAGCACACAGAGCGATACACCAGCAAGACTCATAATTTAAGTATTAAAAAAAGGGAAGTTTAACGAAAAACTTCCGGTACTGTTCACTTTAACTAAAAATCACATTTTTACACTAAAAAATCAATCATGGTACTATTCACTTTACCATTTAATTTGTCCTCATTGTTGAAACTCAAAATTTTCAAATATTTTTCATTAGTTTTCTATTAAAAAAATTAGCACAAACTCAGAAGGTGGTAACCCACACGTATAACCAAATTTTGCTTTAGTCTCACCCACCAATCATTACATGTTTCCGCGTAAGGACATCAGCCGCATACAAGAAAAGGATAAGCTTTTTCCTTTGAAGAACTTGGTTGGTGAACTGATCTGAACGCAGATCGTGAGCTTCAATTTTTAAAGCAAGAAAACCTCCTTTGACCTTGTGCATTTCCTTTGTGTTCAAGATTAAGATGAGCTTAAGAGTAACTAAAAGCAATATAATCATTGGTGTGGGACCCTATTTTAAAGAAATTGATAATAATAAAATGCGTCGTATGGTCCAAGTTCATGTTAAAATCACTCCACCTTCTTACTCCGATTTCAAGTAGGGAATCATTCAATAACCATTTAGTTTTTATTGTTTTTAAAACCGAAAACCAAAAAGCTGAAAAAAATTTCCAAATTTGGCTTGGTTTTGTATTTTACGTTTTTTAAAAACTTAAAAACAGTTAATAAACAAGTTTTCAATTTTCAGAAAAATGAAAAACTAAAAACTAAAATGGTTATCAGATAGGCCCTAAACATGTCCTAAACACGTCGTATTTTCTTTTGACACAAAAGATATTGAGGAAGGACAAACAACCTCAAGTGTAATGATAAACGCTCTTAACTACTAAATGGAAAGCACCCATGAGAAAAACATCATCCAACGTTTGAGTCTTTCCTATTAGCAAAGTAAAACCAGAAAAATGACTTTTGAATTGAAGTCCCCAAATTTATTGACCTCTTCTTACAAAAGGATTATCACACTTCTCCAAACCCCACTAAACAAGAGAGGAAGGCAAGGCAAAACAGGGGATATTAACCCAAAGCTTGAACAAAAGGTGACTAATGGCGAAAGAAATCGAATCACAGGCATCGAATCCTTCCGGTAAATGCAATACATGCACTTACACACGAAGGGATTCAACCCTATGCAGAGAATTGAGTACCATCATCAAGTTTTGAGGCAGCTGCCTTGTCCAAAAACCACACCAACTTCCCTTTCAGTGGCTGGACAATTCCAGCCGGCACTGGAGGGAGGTCAGATCCCATGTCGTCGACTGCCATGTGCGCAGCCTCTGCTTTGCTGTCACCTGTTGCGACTATAGCCACATTGGACGCCGAGTTGATGACTGGCAGGGTGAATGTGATTCTCTCGGGTGGTGGTTTGGGGGAATCAGTTATAAAAGTCACCCATTCATCTTTCTCCTCCAGCACCGAGTGGTTAGGGAATAGTGAGGCGACATGCCCATCAGGACCCATTCCCAGGAGGATTAGGTCAAACTTGGGGCAGTCACTTATATCAGAGACGCTGATCACCCGAGATTTCACTAGCTGGCGAATGACAAACTCATAGTCATCAGCAGCCTCCTCTGCTGACACTGAATCATTAATAGAATGCACATGACTGGGAATTATAGGTACCTGCAAACGTGAAATAAAAATGAGCATGGGAAAACCGAATACAGATGGGCGATGAAATTTATTATTCACCAGAACTAGAACAAATATTGCGATAGTATAGTCATTGTTCTCAAGAATCTCAACTAAAAGCTTTCAGTTCCAATATACTAACAAATGGATATTAATGTATTTCTGAAAATTTGGGAAAATACATGAACACAAAGTGAATGACGACATTCAATCACCAGCCACAAGATTGTCATAAGTTTGAGTCCTTCTCTAATACTAAAACGATAGTGTGTGCACAAACTAGCATATTTTACATTAAGAGTCCCGATAGCCATGAACGAAAAATCAGGTTGGAACTTACAGCTTGATTAGCTAATTACTGATTGCATAGTAGAAGATCATCAAGCTGTTGTGAAGAGATGTTCAAGAGATAGCCATATGTGAAGTCAACAAGTGAGTAATAGTTTGTCCAATACCAGTTGAAATAGAAAAAAAAATCACTACTGCCAATGGCGGAACTCATCACATCATATAATTAAAATATGGAAAATCATGAAAAATAGAAGATCAGATCTCAAACAGGAACAAGAAAACATACATCTCAGTAAATACTTTGTTTAAAAGGAAAGTTCATTGAAGTGGCTATGAGAAAGTTTCATGGTGTTTAAGATGCAATAAATGACCCGAGAAACAACCAACATAATCTGCAGCAGTGATCTTCCTTTTACTAAAAGCCAACTTTATCCACAAGAATTGTTAAAGTTGAACATGTGCACCAGAAGATGGCTGCAATATATAAGGTGGTTCCGATGATGACACGGAAACTTAGCGAAACTACAGAAATCAGCAACAGCTAGTAAATTTCTTATACAAGAAACTTGACTGTTTAATATGATAAGCAGTTTAGATCCGGTACACAATTGTGGGGTACTAAATCACAGCCACCTCGTCGTCATATAAAGAGGTAAAACACAGAACAGATCAAAATAATAATGCTAATATCTATCCTTTTATTCGAAGTTCATCATGTCATTTGGTTTTCCGAAAGACGGAAAGACCGGAAGAAGAAAAGCATCATGTTCAAAGCAAGACAAGCAATCTCTATTACATTTCTTTGACTCAATTACTTCAAGAACAAAATACAGCCTACACAGTCTGAGAGGGGAAAAAAGACGGAAGAATATCATACAAACCTTGGACAAAAGGCGATCTTTCGCAAGCTTGTAGTTGCTATCAACATGACTTTTCGCCACAACACGCTCGTCTGCCCAAAATATATACCATTTGGCCCAATCTACAGTCTTGTTATAAGGAGCTTCACACAGTTTTCTGTTTTCCCACCATCACAAGTTACGCATTAACACAAAAGTCAAAGCAAATAAAAAAGGGGATGTGGAAAGGAAAGCATGATACCCCCATTAAGCCAATGAGAGAACCACCAGATAATGCAATTGCAAAGACGCCGCGCTCCTTCACGGATGCCTCTGATAGCTCAGCAATGTAGTCTGCCAAATCAGTGCTAAG